TATAAATTCATTTCTTCATCTTTATGCAGAATTTTAATTTTGCATTGAACTTTAAATATATCCATTATACATTAAAACAGATGTTCAGTTTAGGAAACAGGCTAAAGCTTCATTTAGGACACTGAGATGTCTTTAGTATATGATGTGTTTTTTGTTTGCTTCTTGTTTCCTTATAGGCCAACCGAGCAATAAGTACCGTTGGGTTTGTGACAGCTGCTGTTGGTGCCTTCTCATTCCTGGGCTTGTTTCCAAAAAGACAAAGAACAAAATACTATTAACAGTTTACCAACGAGGTATTGATATTGAAGGAATTTGGGAAGAGGAAAAAGAAAACCTGGGGTAAATACTTATTTTCAGTGCATCATTACTGTTGCAGATTCCTGTGATGGATGGCAGGCTCTTTAATATAAATTGCTTACTGATATTATCTTATCATTGAGCCAATGAAAATTTTTTTTCCCCTGCTAACATAGATTTGCTGTGGCAGCTTGAACGAGAAGCAGTAGCCTTTTGAGTGAGCCAGCAGAAGATCTTAACAAAATCTCATCACATTTTATTTCTACTATAAATATTATTTTCCTTTTCCCCAAGGGTGGCCATTTTGCCAGAGGGATGAAAAACTATTTATATATGATTTTGAAAGAAATTTTAAGAACCCCAAATTGTTAGAGTTGACATCTAAATTCATGTTTCTTGTTGGAAAAGAAGTTGGGAAATTCAGCATTTTGGTTAGGTAGTTTGAGGGACTCTAATTTACAAGGCTGTGGGGAGTGCACCCTCATCTTCCTCCTGCACCTGTATAGATTAGGGTGGATGGGAAGAGGAGAGGCTGTTTGCTCCAGGGTTTCAGTTCCAGTGATTTCTGTGGAATCTGCTTGCTTGTCAGGAGGACATGACAAGTAAGAGCCGGCTGTTATTTCTACAGTGTTACATATTATTCCCTTTGGATTTTGAAGTATTTCAGGGATTTGACCTTTTAACCTTGAGAAGAGATAATTAAATGTTTAAGATGCCATATTTAGAAAACAATATCTCATATTCTTAAGACTTTTTCTACAAGCCAAGGAGTGTCATAATTTTATTCTCTCATTTTATTATGTGTTCAGTTAAAGACACTGCTTTCTATGCTGTTCCAGTGAAATTCTTGGTGGCAGCAGGTGGGGAAAGGGGGAGTGCAGCTGTCTATAACCTGGGATTACATCAGACGTTGTAACATGACCCCGTAAACCACACCACCAGCCAGTGACATCCGTCTTATGCTATCATCAAAAGCTTGGCATTAAATAAAGGAATTGTTCAAGTTAATATTGGGGGATGGTACAATGAGAAAACTAGGAATACGGTATATAATGTAACTAAACAGAAGACTCAGTGAAAGTCTTGTACCTATTAAACTTACTTACCTTTTACCCCAGGGCCAGAAATACTCAACAAGCTAATTGCAAGGTTAATAAGAATGGTAATAGAAGGAGTTGTGTGCTGCAGTCTGGGCCACAGAGACCCTAGATCCCGTCCCTTCTTTTTCAGTAATTCTTTCCCTTTCTTATGGCACCAACTCTGTCTCCAGTAACCCTCAAACTCTCTTCTTCCACTGGTCTTCTGGGGAGGTGTGAGTGTCTCCTACCGGGAGCCAATGTCTAAAACTTCTCTTTCATTTTTACTCTAAATTCAAATCTCTGTTCCTTTTATGCCCTGTTCCCAATAGTTAAAAAAACAAAAAACAGGCCGGGTGCGGTGGCTCACGCCTGTAATCCCAGCACTTTGGGAGGCCGAGGCGGGCGGATCACGAGGTCAGGAGATTGAGACCATCCTGGCTAACACTGTGAAAACCCATCTGTACAAAAAATACAAAAAAATTAGCCAGGCATGGTGGTAGGCGACTGTAGTCCCAGCTACTCAGGAGACTGAGGCAAGAGAATGGCATGAACCTGGGAGGTAGAGCTTGCAGTGAGCCGAGATTGTGCCACTGCACTCCAGCCTGGGTGACAGAGAGAGACTCCATCTCAAAAAACACTAAAAACTGTTTTTTAGTATTGTCAAGTTAAGATGAGACTGGCAGTAGCGTAATGTGTTGCCTTTCCCAAGGTACGCTTGCTTTTCAGTAAAGGATGCCTACACAGGGCAAATCTTAACCTGAAGCAGCAGAACGGGGTGCGGTAGAATTACTGCACCCACCAGTGGGAGAAGGAGCAAAATCTGAAGTCAAGAATCTCTTGAGAGCCTCAAGTGCAGCCTTGCTAGAGAACTCTGGATGTCTCCACTCCAGAAGACTGTCCTGTCTGTGGGAGATAATGTCATAAATGCACTTTTAAATTAAATTCATGGATTCATGTTCACATTGGTAGTGTTTGAAGGTGCGGTAGTTTTCACTCTTAGAGGTCAGCTCACGAACGTAGTCATGTTTCCCATAAAAATGGTTCCTCTTGATGATGGCCAGCGTAAGACTGTCCAGCTTGTGTTTCCTGGAGGTGATTATTTGATATCATATAATTGTGCTTTTATGCTTTTATGTGCTTTTATGAAATTATTTTCCCAAGGCTGTTAAACCTTTTTCTGATCATATTTTTAACAGTCAGGGATGGAGTTCAACTTTATCACATTTCAAAAGTAAAAATTATGAAATAAAGATCATCGTCCACCAGAAACCTTATAGGTTGTAGGAGCAAACCTGGGGAGGGGAGGGGGAAAGCCTATACTGTTATTGAATCTATTAAAAAAAATCTTTTTATTGCTATCTAAATGTTATACAGTGTATCAGTTGAATCTTTTCATTCTAAAAGTCAGATTACTAAATGCAGATGTCAGCTCAAGGAACTTGAACTACCGTTTTTTAAATTTGATACATAGTTTATAATCATAAACTAAAAATCTCTTTTTAAAACTTTTGTCTTGTTACTGGTAACTGCTAAATTATACACATTGTAGAAATTATTACTTTCCAGAGAGCTGTGAACACAAGAAATGGTTAAAAAGCAAACAAACAAAATTTAAACACAGAAGGATTGTTTTTATAGGAATTTGCATTTACGCTGGTGGTTTGTGTAACATTTATAATATGATTTACTGTAGTAAATTTCATGTTGAAAACATTGATCATTCCTAAAGATGTCAGAACTGTAAAGTCAAGGCTGTCATATGTTGAATCTGCTTATTCTGACTGTATGCTTTTAACCAATGAGAGAAGAAAGAATGCATTTCCTTTATCCTTTTCAACAAAACTGTAATTCAATTTTGCATAGTATTATTTTGTTTAAACATGAAACAGCTTTCATGTTAAAACTGTACGTCACAATTGTATATGAACTCAATTGAAAAAGAAAAATTGAGGGAACCATTTGGTCTCTGAAAGTTTTACTCTAACACATTAGTTGTCACAAGTTTACTTAAATCTTTGTGAAGAACATTTACAATATATCTCCTTTTTCGGCCAAGTGTCAGCAGTTCCTCTTTCTGTTTCCATTTTATGCTTTCATAGAGAGAACAAGGCCCAAATCAAGGCCCCTTTCGGACATTCGAACCCCTAACTATAGAAGCCAGAATTTGTGGACTGTAGCATGAAAGGAGATGATTGTTAATTCCATATAATCTTGGCGCACGGGCACGCATTAATGTCTTCAAGCAAATTCGCACCAAAGTTTGGCATAAAACTCAAATGTATAGCCATGTTTTGGGCCAGGCGAAACCAGGAAGGTTTAAGTAGCTGTAAAAACGATGCTGTATAAGCTTAGAGGCATGCACACATTACCCTAGCTTCTTGTTACCACATGAAAACCTCGGAGTTGTTTTTTTCCTTTTTTTTTGGGCTGGAAGTGCAGTGGCACAAAATTTTGGCATCACTAGCACCCCTCTGCCTTCTGAGGACTTCAAGTGATTCCCTGCCCTCAGCCCTCCCAAGCAGCTGGGATGGCAGGCACCCAACCATCATGCCCAGCTAATTTTTGTATTTTTAGTAAAGATGGCGTTTCACCATGTTGTTCCAGGCGTGGTCTCAAACTCCCTGATCTCAAGTGATCCACCTGGCCTCAGCCTCCCAAAGTGCTGGGATTACAGCGTGAGCCACTGTGCCCGGCCCTCAAAGCTCTAACCTTAAAAGTTGTTCCAGAAGCTCAACCATTACTCATCTTAAAAACAATGCTAGAAAAGGGACCTCATATATTTGTAACTGCAGCATGACAATTCTCAGGCTACTAAACAACCTTAAGTTCTATTTCATCTTTTAATTATCTAAATCATCCTATTAGATGCACATTAAATACCCACATGAAAGGGTGCATCCTTTACAAAATATGTTCTGTACACTATTACTTTTATATATCACCCTCACCAGAAACCTTGGAGAAAATTTATTTTCCTAGTGGCACATTTTAAAATACCTACTAGGCTTGCCTTAATAACGAATAATTCTAA